AGGATGAAGCCCATGTTACGACCTCTTTCAAAGGACTACCACCAATGACGCACCAGTAACCCCACGTCCCACAGGCTTGGCGGAACGCCACCGTAGGACATGTCACGTGTGTCCCACGCATCCCATACAATCCCACAAAGTACCACGCGTAGGACAACATAGGACAACATAGGACAACATAGGACATAGGACATTCACTTAGTATATAGCATAGGCAATGTAGCCCTTATGGCTCATTGTGTTCAACTTAAGTTACGAGTACAAGTACAATACAAGAGTTACTTGCAGAGACACTGTTCATACCACCCTGTTGCTTCATCCGCGAAAACCAACCTCAAGAGTCTGACACCAGAAGTCTTATATTACTTCCACTCAGATCCTACTCTTAACAAGCATGCGACTAATTTCTATGTGTAGCTGAAGCTTGAATGTAGTGCAGCTTAAAAAGAATTAAGCTATGATAGCTTTGTAAGAGGTACATGAAGAAAGAGTGAATAAAGGAATTATTGATTGAAGTTTACATGTGATTAACTAGCCCCACCACAAAGTGCGCGCGACCACAAAGTGCGCGCGCGCCTTACAACCACCTCAACCTCAACGCGTCGTATCCCCACCACTATGGCTAATATTGAGGCTGCGCTTGCAGCTATTAATGCCCTAGGATCTAATGAGCCTTTTTCGTATACAGATATTGCAAAAAAATATAGTGTTGTTTAATCTACGCTTACCTAAAGACACTAAGGCCTACACGCCTTACGCGCGATAGGTGGCCAAAAATGGCAGCTCCTCTACCTATAGCAGGAGCAGGCCCTAATCGCCTATATCAATTAACTAACAGATAGAGGCTTACCACCTACTTAGCTAATGATACGCAATTTTGCCTTACAGATCGCCAAGACTGAGGTTAGAGTACACTAGGCTAGTCGCTTTGTCTAGCGCTATCCTAATCAACTTACCTCAAGGTGGGCAAAAGGCCTTAATAACTGTCGCTACAAAGTAGATTTAAGAAGCAAATACAACCTCTACTTTAGCCTCCTACGCGATAAAATTAATCAATATCACGTCGAGGCGCGTTATATCTACAATATAGATGAGAAGGGCTTCATGCTTGGTATTGTAAGTCGTTCAAGGAGGATCTTTAGTAAGGCCTCGTACGAGGGCATAAGGAGGAGGACTACGATACAGGATGGCTCACGCTAGTGGATAACGCTGTTAGCCTGTATCTGCGCAGATGGATCTTGCCTTGAGCCTGCCCTCATATATCAATCAGCCTCAGGATCGATACAGGACACCTGGCTGCAGGCCCTTGATCCAGACATCCACCAAATTCGAATATCTTCATCACCTTCTAGATGGACGAACAATGAGATAGGCCTTGCGTGGCTGCAGCAGGTGTTTGATCGTAGTACGAAGGCGAAGGCTCGATCCTCCTATTGATTACTCGTCCTTGACGGCCATGGATCTCACGTTATAATGGATTTTATTAAGTATTGTGATAAGCATAAGATCCTCCTTGCAGTATATCCTCCTCACTTAACCCACACGCTGCAGCCTCTTAACGTTAGCATGTTTAAGCCTCTCTCAACAGCGTACTCAAACGAAGTTTCTGCCTTCATGGATAGGAGCCAAGGCCTTACTTTAATGAGTAAGAGGGATTTCTTACCCCTCTTCTAGGCTGCCTAGTAGGCCTCCTTTAAGGAAACGACGATCCTAAACGCCTTTAAGGCTACAGAGATCTCGCCTCTTAACCTAGAAGTTATCCTTCAGCGCTTTACTGTACCTGATCCTGCGACGGATAGTGACTCCTTAGCTCTTAGTGCCTCTAATTGGAGGAAGATAGAGCGTCTGCTGCGTTAGGTAGTCGCTGATCAGGGCGATAGGCAGGCCAAAAAGCTTAGCTAGGTCCTTCACTCGAGTTTGGTTTAAAACAGTCT